CTTTGTTGCAGCACCGGTCTCACCTATGGGACCTAGAGAGGTGAGTAACTCTCGCGGACCAAGCGAGGGATGCCTTGCCCTGACAGTAATTGCCAACCCCAGGCAGGAGGTCCCCTTGGACCCACTTGCCATGCCTATAACTCTGATCATGGATGCCCACCTCACATGTTGGGGAGCGCACCTAATGAAGCCCAAGGAATATGGCCCCTGCATTGGATTCAGGGCCACCATATCAATTGGCTCAAAATGAAAGCAGTGCACTTGGCACTGATACACTTCGGGCCACAGAGTCTTGCTCCGTACGGACAACACAACGGTGGTCTCCTACATCAACAATAAGGGGGGACAAAATCCCCGTCGCTGTCAGCCCTGGCGGAGAAAATTCTCCATTGGTGCCTGGAATACAATGTGGAGCTAACTGCACACCACCTTCTAGGGGACGGAACAGTCAAGCCCTTTCACGGTGACACGGTTTCCAAACACAAGTGGCAAGTACTCCAATGAGTAGCCTCCAGGCTGTGGGCCAGTCACTGTTCGCTACACCCCAGAATGCCAAGCTATTGACGTAGACTCCAGGAGCATGAACCATGGACGCATTATTGATCACGTGGACCCACATGGATGTGTACGCCTTTACTCCCTTCCACTGATTCACCACTTACATGCATGGAGGCTCTCAGTAGACCAGCACAGACAGAAGGCTTATCTGAGCGTGCTGCAAACATCCTGGCTGGGGCGAAGAGGTGTTCCACCAACGTAGCCTACGACTCCAAGTGGCGGGCATACATTGATTGGTGTAGTGGAAGGGAGGTTGATCCATGCAACCCCACTGTTGGCCAGGTAGATGATTTTTTTCGTCCATCTATTTCACGAGGTAGATTTATTCTATGCAGCAATTGTTGGCTATAGGTCAGCCTTGTCACCCGCTATTGAGAACTCTTCGGGGACAAGACTAGCCGATTGTCCTATTATTAGGAGACTGTTTTGGGACTTGTCGGTTGTGTTGTCAGCTCTAAGCAGATCACCCTTTGAACCACTGGAATCAGCACCACTGAAATATTTGACTTGGGAAAACAGTCTTCCTACTAGCTCTCTGGTAGGCATTGTTCTGAGTTAGGGGCCCTGTCCTTCTCGGACTGTTGTGCCGCCTTTATGGACAATCAAGCTGTAATAAAGACATGAATCAGGTTTCTCGCCTAGAAATAAATCCCTGGACACAATCCACAGCCGATCGTCATCCCCTGTTTAGCCAATATTGTCGGCCCGGAGGATCAAAAGGAGTTGCTTTTATGCCTGGTTCAAGCTTTGAGTTGCTATGAGAGATGTACTGGTTGTCGAGGCAAGTCAACAAGCACATGTTTATGTGTTATGGCCCAGGTAAGCAGGACAGACCAGCCTCCCCAACTTCTAGGTGGATCACTTCAACAGTGTTTGAGGTTTATGGGCGATTTGCGTCCTCAGTAGAGTACAAGCTCATGAGGTTCGTGCGACTGCCAAGTCATTAGCACTTGCGTCAGGTGCCCCCCTTGAACACATACTTAGGGCAGGCTTCTGGATAATGCAAAACGTCTAAATATCAACTATTACCGAAAAGGCATGCAATCCATTGAGAAAGGTCTTTTTAAGGTAGGTCCCGTCGCTGTGATCAAACTTTGATTGTTGACCCAACCCAAACGACCACAAGAACCTCTGCGCAAATGCGATAGAGCAGTCTCGGCTACAGATTTGTGTGGGGGAAGTTTCTTCCGTCAGCACTCTTTGGACATCCCAGGTCTCGCTTTCGGCCTATGCCCTTATGCAGAACTGTTTTGGCCTCTTCTTTTTGGGAAACTAGTTACCGCCAGAATTGGGTCCTGGGGCAATGCCAACCCCATCACCCGATCAGCACTATTACTATGGGGCCACACTGGTAAGGTAAGACAGCGTTTTTCACTGTTCATAGCTAGGTGGATGTCATAAGTAATTTTATTCTTTTGAGTACTCGAAAGGATAACATTTTTATTTTATTTTCTGTTTTGCTCGGAAACGCGCCACCTCTTGGCATCTGATTATTTTGTCAGACCAGAGTCTAAGGTTGGAAATTGCTCGTTGTGAATTTAGGTTTTCAACCCGCGTATTCACATAGTTCATACCCACCATAGATTCTGGGTACCTCCCAACCACCCATCTTTCCGTAGTGCTTTTATTTAGTCCTTGTATACGGAGAAAACTGGGAAGGGAACCTAAGACAAGATGGTGCTGACTCCTTGACCTCGGTCATGTGTTACGTGATGTGGAAGAAAATCTATGAGGTCATGACTTAGATTTCTGTCTCCATCATTGGCTGCAGCTTAATGCCTACAGTTCAAAATAGTCATTTTGACTTACTGGAGTCTAAGGTGGGTAAGAACTATCTGAACAGTCAGGTTGAAAACCCTCTGCCTAAATACATGTAGGTACCCATTGCTAAGAAAAAGAATAGACCTGCCCAAAACAAAAACATGTATAAATTATATGTATCTGTAAAGAACAATAAGGAAATTATAACACTAAACTAACATAGTTTAAACATAGATTATGCCAACTTGACCACACATGACAGTCAACAACAAAAGGGAAAATACCCAACCTATTAATTAACATACCCAACCAATTAACTAACATTACATGCCTAGTAAGTACAAGCACATGTTATGCCAACCCCCACCTACGCTTGTTCAACTTTCATGGGCGCTTTAATCATAATAAATCAATATGAAACCCAAAATTGTTATTAACAGTACTAATGCTGTCATCAAAAATGTCTAAAATAACAGCTTCATGTACTACGTTTACTAATTTTGCCATCCACAATAAGCAAGTGCAGGTATCTCTCGCTGGAACTCAAATCTGAACATTGGCACCACCATTTTTAGCACTGTAGTAGGCCTGTGCTTGCTGCAACAGTATCAGTTAATGTTTGTGTACAATTAATTAATTTTGTATCTTTCAATAAATTGCCACGACCGTGAATTTCATCTCTATCATTAAGGGGAATACATTGAATAATTACCTGTGAATGTGGACGATCAGCCGACAATTTATTTAAGCAATAGACTGCTGAGTTGCATATTGTTCACTGACACAGTAATTTCAACATCTCATGCTGTAACATCTTTCGAGTTTTAATTTCTATGACTTCACCCACTTCATATATCTATCCAATTTGACCTGAGTTGATGTTCTATTGCAACGTTCTTTGTCCAGCATGCCTCATAATGCTTCAATCTTGGATTCCATTAATTTCCTACTCGTGTCCATCTCATCAATATTACTCTTCAACTCATTAACTTTGTCAATGTTCAAATGTAGTTTCATTCTAGTTGAAGATATGGCATTTGTTAATTCTGCTTTCATATAACAAATTTGTTTTGCCAGTTCTTGATTTTGGTTGGTAAGAATACAATGTACTGAAATTTTCAGTTCAGGTGATGAAAGCTCAATTTTTTTGTCCTTGTTAACGTGTTGCGTAATCTCAGACTGTTTAATAATCACATTTTCAATGGACGTGATCTCATTGCTAGAAGAGCTAGACAGATCGTACTTCGACATCGATTATTCACTTCCGCATTGCGTTACCGGAAAGTCTTCGGCAATTTCAGAAGAATTGCGTCAGTACAACACAGCATTCTGATTAGTTAATAACCAACTTTGACCCATTAGGTCAAACGACGCTGCTGTAGGTCAAATCTGCAATTGCATGATGGCGGAAAGTGATTTTCATCGAGAGTTTGCGTACGATCCAACAACTTCGTCAGTGGAAATAATATGACAATTTTGACTTCGACTGTGTTCCAACAGACTCGAATGTTTTTAATTCCGTAAATTATGGTGGTACGTAATTAATATTGTAATAAAATGTGCATATTTTTTGTGATCATTTCTGTTTGTTCATTGTGAAAATCAATGACGACGCAAATTAATTTAGTAATTTGATTTTCCCTCAAAGACGTAATCTGTCACTTGATGAATCAAAATTTTCATTTGCACTCTTTTTCGAGGGGGTGCTCGGGTAAGCGCCCACCCCTACAACATCGTGATTTTCTGAGTTGAGGCCCCTGGGTGCTAACGCGGTCGAGTACGGTATATGGTAAATGAGATGACATTCTTCTTTCTACTTTGAAGTCTTACCAGAGCACTGGCTTTAGAATAGCGTATGATAATATGTTTATTACACCGTAATGAATAATAACAGTTCATTTTAAGTTAGAAACAAATGCCGGTATACCTGTCAGAAGGTGATGAATGGATACATCCATGATGACATGATTTTGTGACATACATGTAATATACAAAACACTGTCAAATTTGTTTTTTATTCCTCTTTTTTTATTACTAGGTGCATGTGAAGGAACACTAGCATGCTCAACATGTCATTTATTATTTCAAAAAGAAGTATTTGATAAATTACCTGATGAGCCAACAGATGAAGAACTTGATATGTTAGATCTAGCATATGGTTTAACAGATAGGTAATGATATCTCCTTGTCTTTCTTTGGTGCAATAGCTAAGCATAGACATGTATACAGTAAACTTCAATTGTGTCTGTTTATTGACCTAAAACTCTGGTTCGAGCATGCCCAGAATAAATAATTAGGTTAGATGGTAATGCTAGGGTTTTCAGTGACACCATGAACATGACCATGGCCAGCTACATTGACACATGTGGTCTAAATATAGCTTGACTTGTCAGAAGCTAGTGGATAAATGGGCCGTACCATAACGAATCTCAGTGGAAACTTTAGAGGGGGGCAGTGTACATTCCAAAACAACAAGTGTACTTGCCAAAACAACCAGCGTACATGCCAAAACAACCAGCGTACATGCCAAAACAACCAGCGTACATGCCAAAACAACCAGCGTACATGCCAAAACAACCAGCATACATGCCAAAACAACCAGCATACATGCCAAAACAACCAGTGTACTTGCCAAAACAACCAGCGTACATGCCAAAACAACCAGCGTACTTGCCAAAACAACCAGCATACATGCCAAAACAACCAGCATACATGCCAAAACAATCAGTGTACTTGCCAAAACAACCAGCGTACTTGCCAAAACAACCAGTGTACTTGCCAAAACAACCAGCGTACATGCCAAAACAACCAGCGTGCATGCCAAAACAACCAGTGTACATGCCAAAACAACCAGCGTACATGCCAAAACAACCAGCGTACATGCCAAAACAACCAGTGTACATGCCAAAACAACCAGCGTACATGCCAATACAACCAGCGTACATGCCAAAACAACCAGTGTACATTCCAAAACAACCAGCGTACATTCCAAAACAACCAGCATACATACCAAAACAACCAGTGTACATTCCAAAACAACCAGTGTACATTCCAAAACAACCAGCGTACATTCC